GGGTCGGGGGGGCCGAGGGCCCGGGTCCCCTCACTCCGGCCCGCTTCGAGCCCTTAGAGTCTGGGGAGGCGGCGCGGTGGCCGTTCCCCCCTAATTCTCCCCAGCGAGCGTTTATTGAGCACCTACTGAATACCTGGCACTCGGTGAGGGAGGGACTCGGTGCCGCGCTGCCCTCGGGGCTCCTGCTATCTGAGTGTGACTTAGCGGCCGGGGCAGCCGGGGCCCGGCGGGGAGCAGGGGGGCAGGGGAGGGCTCTTCTGAAGAAAAGAGGCCGCGTCTCGCTCCCCACGACGCTGTCTCCGGAGCTTTGAGGGCCACACACCGGCGGCTTTCTCTGCCCTGCAGCCAAAACCTCTCCCAACTCCTCTTCTCGCCGGCTTACGAGCCGGTAGAGGCTCCGGTGGCTTTTGGTGTAAAATGCAAGCTCCTCACTGTCGTCCCCAAGGACCCCGGGGAACTGGCCGGGCCCTCCAGCCCCGCCCCCGCGCTCCCGGGCGCCCTTGGTTTCTGGACCGCTCCCAGCCCTCGCGGACCGCCTCTCTCGGCCGGCTTGCCCCAACTCAAATATCACCTTCCTTTCTGAGCCCCTTTCTTCTCCATCACACTGTCCTGTTTCCTTTTCTCAGCGCCTTTCCCACCCCTCCCCCACCGCACCTCCTCCAGGAGAACGGACACCTAAGGCCCAGGAGCGTGAGGGGAGCCCGTGTTGACCCTGGCTGGTGGTCTCCTGCGCTGCATGCAGCAGGAGCTCTCTGAGGAGGGGGGACTAGGGGGGGGCTAAAGAGTTTGGAGCTCGCCCTGAAAGTGGTAGGAGCCCGTGAAGTGGCAGGAGAGAGCAGCCATTTTAGGAAGACGTATCATGGTGTGGATGCTGGTTTACAGGAGGTGGTAATGGGGTCTCAATCGGAAATTAGTTCAGTCTAAAAGAATTAGTCCCTTCCTCCTTCCTCCTCCCCTTCCGCCCTCCTTCCTTTTTTCCTCCCTCCTCCTTCCGTCCTCCTTCCTTCCCTCCCTCCCCTCCCTTTTCTTCTTCTTTTTTGGGGTAGGGCCCTTGACCCAGGTAGCCTTTCGGGAACCTAGGCTGGCTGACCTAGACACTACCTCCCTCAGCCTATGGCTCTTAGGGCCATTCTGGGTATCAGGTTCCAGAAAGTAGACGGAAAACATGCACAGTAGAGGGCTGGAGAGAGGTTCTTATGGGCCAGGTCTAGAAGTGTCAGACATTCTTCCACCTACAAGATGTCTGTGACCCCACCTAGATGGGGGCCTGGGGTGGTGGTGGGGGCTGGGAAATGTAGTCCCTGGGAAGCAGCTGCCTAGAAATAACTAGATTAAAATATTCCAAGGCCCAGGTAAGGCCTTAAGAAAAAGGGATCTATATGTGAAAAATTTGGGAGAGATGGGGAGTTGATGAGAGTTTGATGACAGTATGAGGTGATGACTCAGTTTTCCGTGAAATTGTTGACTGAGAGATGACTCTTACTCTCATTTCTTATTGTTAGCTGAGAGAGCAGGAGAGGATTTTGTTGTGAATTGTCCCCAGGGGACTGAAGCTTGGGAGGACAGCCAGGGCTCTGATCAGCTGGCTTGGGAGTTGTTTGGTAGTGTAGGTCAGATCCGGGGTGGGGTCTGAGGGTGAAACCCTGAGGAAATTGGGCCTTTGGGGACTGGTGGAGAAGAGGCCCCTCGGGAGCATGAGGAGCAGCAGCTGAAGAGGAAAGCAGACACAATAAATGGTGGATGGATGGATTGAATTACAGGGATAATTGGTGGATCTTGTTAATGCTAATGTCTGTATTTGTTAATGCTAAGAAGCCCTATTCTTAGGCTTCTTCCCAAAATTTGGGGTCAAATTTTACTTGTCTTGGAAATCTGGACACCTGGTGTTTACTGGCCTAGATGATTTTGATTTTTCTTTTTTTTTTTAAATTGAATTTATTGGGGTGACATTGGTTAATAAAACCATGCAGGTTTCAAGTGTACAGCTCAGTAACACATAAGCTGCATACTGCATCGTGCACTCACCACCCAAAGTAAAGTCTCTTTCTATCCCCATTTATTCCCCCTTTGCCCTCTTTTACCTCCTCCCACTCCCCTTTCCCTCTGGTGGTCACCATACTGTTGTCTGTGTCTGTGTGTTATTATTTTAATTTTAAAAATATCATTTTATTGATTATGGAGAGAGAGAGAACATCGATGTGAGAGAGAACCATTGATTGGTACACACTCCAACTGTGATTGAACCCGAAACTGGGCATGTGCCCTGATCAAGAATAAACCGGTGACCTTTTTGTGCATGGGACAGTGCTCAATCAAGCCACACTGGCCAGGGCTACTATTTATTTATTTTTTCGCTTAGTCCCTTCACCTTTTTCACCCAGCCTCCAAAACTCTCCCCTTTCTCTTGCAGCTGTCAGTTTTTTTTATGTATCTATGCTTCTGTTTCTATTTTGTTTGTTAGGTTATTTTGTTCATTAGATTCCACATCTTTATTCTTCACCTTTCCCTTTTCCTTGAGGGTCACACAAGAGTTTCTTGCATCTTCCTTTTCCGACTGTTTCTGGGTCACGTAGGGAGAGTGTATGTGGTTGGCTGTATTTTCTATGCTTTTCTTGGGACTCTACTGGTCTTCCTGAACCGCAGGTCAGCTGTTTCAGAAATAGATCCTCACCGCTGCTTTTCATTGGTGATAGCTGGGAAGGGTCCCTGTCCCTGACTTCCATCCTGTGCTTAGGGGAGCAGTGAGCATTGTGGTCAAGAGCACAGCCCCAAAGACAAACCTACCTTGTTCCAACCCTGCCTCTTCTCCTTGCTAGCCGAGTGATCTTGGCCAGGTTACTTCATATCTGATCCTCAGTTCCATCAGCTGCAAAATGGGGATAATAATATCACCTATCTCTTAAAGTTTTTGAGGACTAAATGAATTAACTCATAGAATGTTTGGGTAATCCCTGGTTTATTGTAAATGCTCAACAAGTTTTAGCAGCCATCATCATTATAATGATTAGATAGATTTGGCTCTGGCAGCACCAATTATTAGCCCCTCTGTCTAGAATATTCTTTCCTCCTTTCCTTTCCTGGATCCTCAACCCTAAGAATTTGACTTAGGTCCTCTCTTGTTTGCTTCCCCACTGCTGTCAGGGTCAGGTGCCCCTCTTCTCCTCACTAATACTTTCTGAACACAGCTGACCTTGCCCTTCCCACTCCATTTTAGAGTCATCTCTGTCTTTGCCTCCACTAGATGAGAGAAGGAGAGGAATCAGGATGACTCCAAAGTTTTTGGCTTGTATTGTGGAAGGAAATGGCCTTTTACTGAGATGGCAGAGCCTGTGGAATGTGCAGGTTTGGAGGAGTCAATCAGGGGTTCAGTTTTCTTTTGAGATGCTTATGATAAGCATGACATATGAGGCAAGGCAGTGTCTGAGTCAAGCAAATGGTATTTGCCTGACTCTTCAGGTCATGTTGATCAGGGCAGTCAATTGAAGTCTTTGGATCATTGGGGCATGGTGCCAGTGCCTGGCTCACAATGAGTGTTTAACAAGGGCTTGTTAATCAAAAAAAATGGAGGAGAGGAGGAGAAAAGGCTGGGCCTCAAGGGTGTGTGTGTCTGCCTGTGTAAGCCCTTATAAACATAAGGCATCCACACTCATTTATTCAACCTTGGTTTAAGTGTCTAGTGACTGGTATGCTATGACTTTTCTTTGAGGAATGACCCTGTCATTTTCATTAGATACCTGCTGAGAGGCACTGTTCTGGGTTCTAGAATTCACAAGTTACCATTTCTTCCTTTGCAAATAAGCTTTATGTTTTATCGTTGCATAGAAATGCTGGTTTTTCTCCAGTGCTTCTAAACAATGTAAGGAACTGTTCTTGTAAAATTATCTTAAAGACTGATTTTACCAGCTGTATTAGTTTGCTTGGGCTGCTATAACAAGTTTCTACAGATTGGTGAGCTTAAACAACCAGAAATTTACTTTCTTACAGTTCTGGAGGCTATAAGTTAGACATCAAGGGCTGGTTTCTTCTGAGGCCTCCTTGCCTTGTAGATGGCCATCTTCTCCCTGTATCCTCACATTGTCTTTCCTTTCTGCTAGTCTGCATTCTAATCCTTTCTTCTCATAAGGATACTAGTCAGATTGCATGGGTGCCCCTCCAGTGACCCCATTTAAACTTACTAACCTCATTGTAAAGACTCTGTCTCCAAATACAATCACTTCTGAGGTGACTTCAACATAAGAATTTTGTGGAGACAGTTCAGTCATGACACCAGCTCTGCTCCTTTGCAGGAAGAACTGTAGGAGCAGTCACAGCTTGACAACTGATCACAACCTGAGTGTGCTGAAAACTCATGGCGTCGACAACCTCAGCTACAGTGAGCTCTGCCAACTCTTGTTTCAGAATGACCCCTGGCTTTTGCCGGAGGTGAGTACCGGGAGGGGGAAGGTAGGTATGTGAGCAAGGAATTGGGAAGAGGCCGGAAGGTTGGAAGATAGGATATATTATGGCAGAAGAAAGCCAAGGCCCCCATTGTGACCACTGGGGTCTGCCTAGAGGACACCTAGATTGAATTCCCAGCTCTGTGACCTTGGGCCAACCTTGCCCCTTGAAGCCTCCTTTTCTTCTGTGTTAGTTGGGCTTGTATGTCCTTTCCAGGGCTTCTGTGAAGTTGGGAGAGCCTATTTGGCCAGTGGCTGCAGAAAGCAAGATGTTATGTTATTTACACAGCTGAGGGGATGAGAGACTCCATCCAGCTCCTCCCTATCTAGCAGGTATCACTGGACCTGCGTGGGTCTGTGGAGAAGCTTTCTAGGGCTGCTGACAGGCAGATGGTGTGCTATCTACTAATTTAATTGCACCCAGGATTTTGAACTTTAGTTGATGTGAATTCTCATGTTGCATTTCAGGTATTAACTACTTGTTTCAAAGCTTATTGAAATGGTTGTGTAAGACTTTGGGTCCTCCTAGGAGCAGACACCAAGATGGAATTACAAGTGTGAGAAATTTATTGGGAGAAGAAGTTGGGGTAAGCCTTCAGGCAGTGATGCAGGTCTGACATCTGTGGCAGGAGAGGGGGAAAGAAGGGAACTGGGCAAAAAGATATCCTGACTATAACCCATTTCTAAGAAAGCTTCCACCTGACCAATAGGCAGTTCTGAGCTAAAGTCACTATTGGAGGTGGCCTGTGTCTCCTCAGAATGGTAGGCTCTGTTGTTGGCTGGGAGGATCCTGCAGGAGTGTGATGTCTGTGTGAACAAGGTCGTGGCTCCAGAGGGCAGCAGCTGGGCTGAGAGTGAGCTGTGCTCTGTAGCATATCCGAGCAGTGTCTTCCTGTGGCCAGCCAGGTTATATGGGATCCTCTGGCCCTGTTCTTGCACTGAGGCAACAGAGTTTATATTGGCATATTTTAATGAAAATGCTTCCATATGATTCAATTAAAATCACCCATTTGAGAAAGGTGCTACATAGCATAGTGACTGGCACATAATAGATATTAACTTTTTTCTTTTTCCTTTTGAAAATTAGTACTGATTTAATTCAGCTAACCTTTATTGAATATCCTCTATGAGTCAGGCACTGGCGATAAGGAGATAAAAGACCCTGTCCTGCCCTTCAGGAGGCATGTTTACTGGGTCAGACAGACAAGTCAGCAGATAATTGTAAGGTGCTGTTTTAGATGCTCTAATAGAAGCAGTGTTCTGGTATCGGGCACAGTTTGGGTGCTGGGGAGGGTGTCCTAGAGTAGATGGTACCTGCTCTGGGAGCTGAAGGATGATTGAAAGATGAACGTCTGGGGAAGAGGGAGACAGAGAGGAGGGAATTTGGCATGGTCAGTAGACAACATGTAGGTCAGGGTTGGAGAGGAGAGAAAAAGAAATGGGTGGGCAGAGGCTCATCCGTGCAGCCTTCTCTTTCACAGGGAAGTTGTGGGGGAGGTTTGCAGAGTGGGCATTTACGTTTTAGAATGATCATCTTGTCAGAAGTGTGAAAAACGAATCAGACGATGACTAGTCTGGAGTGTGTAGCCTTTGTGTGCTTGGGTGTTCAGAACACAGTGCCAAACAAATAGGAGCTGAGACCATAAATGTGGACTCAGTGCAGCATTTCTGCCAAGATTTCTGTTTTCAGGCTAGACTTTATTATCCAATGACTAGTTGGGGGCCATCACCATAAATGGAGCACACACTGTGTTCCACGCATTGTATTAGCCACTCCTTTTATTTCTCATTTAATCCTCACAATAACCCAGCAATGTAGGTGGGATTATTCCCATTTTAGGGAATTGAAAACTGAATCTCAGTACTGGTGCGTGGCTTGCCCAAGGTCAGGTAGTTTGTAAGTGGCAGACACAGAGGGAGGTTAGGGCTCAGCCCTCTCTGGCCTTTCCCTTTGGGGCTTCCATCCCTAGAGTGGGGTACCTGCTAAATTTTGCTCAGTGTAATGCCTGTGAATTGAGTGTCTGGGTCCTTAGTGATCTCTGGCCTGTTTCCATCTCCAAGAATTCAGAATGTAGAGAAGGAGCTGTTGATTCAAGTTCAAGTCTCAGGTTTGCCAACAACCCATTTCAACAGCCATTGTATGTGACAGATTGCTATGTGACCTAGGGCAATCCCATTAACTTCTCTGAGTCTGTTTGCTCCCTTGAGAAATAAAGGGCTGTATTTGGCCTTCTCCTAAGTTGCTTTAAACCTTCAGAGCCTCTTTGACCCTGAGTTGTAGAAAAAAAGAGTTGGGAGAAACTGGGGCATGAGTAGGGGAGAGTTGGTGAATCAGGGGGAAGGGTGTAGGTGGAATGTGTAAGGGTTGTTAGGAGCTGTTACGCAATTTACATTAAAATGTCTCCTGTGAGGAATAGCTCTGATCAGTTTGAAGTTCTTTGGCTTTTCCCAGTGGAGGGGCTTGTTCTGAGAAGTCTGCTACAGTTTCCATTTCAGCCAAGGGCATATGTTAACAGTCATCCATCTAGAGTGAGGGATATTCTCCATTTTGTGTGACCTGTGTTGATGATGGAGTCAAAGCAGTGGCTAGGCCTTTAGAGGAACCTCTTCTAACCAGTGGACTGGTCAGTAGGAAGGTAGTGTAATGTGAGGCCTTCCTAAACTGCTGTCTTCTCCTTTCTCTGTCAACAGATTTGCCTCCACTACAACAAAGGAGATGGACTCCATGGCTCTTGTTCCTTTAGGAAGCAATGTGTCAAACTCCATGTCTGCCAGTATTTTTTACAGGGTGAATGCAAGTTTGGCACAGGCTGTAAGAGATCCCATAATCTCTCTAATTCTGAGAATCTGGAAAAACTGCAGAAGTTTGGCATGAGCTCAGACCTGGTGAGCAGGCTGTCTTCCATTTATAGAAATGCTCATGACATCAAGAATAGGAGCTCTGCCCCGGGCCCACAGGGGACTTCTGGTAAGGCCTTGGGCTGGGGCCCCTGGATTCTAGCTGGACATTAAATGAAATGTGTGACTTTGGATAAGTCGGTGCTTTTAGTAAAATGCTGTTAGTGATCCCTTTCTGGCTAGTGGGGGTTATGAAGATGAGTTTAAATCATGGCCGTGAACAAGCAAGACATTCTACAAAAATGCCAGTTGTGACAATGAATGAATTCCCGATCTACACTGAGGTGGGAGACTGCTTCTCTGTGTAGTTGTCCCTCTGTCCCCTGGAGGGCTTGCCTTTTAATGAGGAACCTCAAAGTTAAGAATGCCATGCTGCACAACTCTAGGGACATCCTTTGCATTGCATTCTCTTTTGATTGTTTTAAAAATGAGTGACCAAAGCGTAGAGTAATATTGGTCTCTTCCTGAGATGAATAAACGGCATTTTTTTAGTCATTGTAAATTTACTTTGTTCACTGCTCATCTTTGGCACCTGGACAGTGTGCCTGGCCCACAGTAGACACTCAGACTTTTATTGAATGAATGAGCATGCTAGGATAATAATTGTTTTTTAAAAAGGAATGTCAGGCTTAGTGGAGGAATTCTGAGCAGAGATTGTTTATGTAATAAGCATTTCTTGAGTACCTGTTGTGTGGGAAATGAAGAACGTGGTCCCACATGGAGTTTATGAAACATTGGCGTCCCTTGTGTTTCGCAATATTGGCTGTTGGCTGGCCATTCTGGTTATCCATTGTTTTATTCAACAAATTTTAATGCTTGCCATGTGCTAGATACTGTCCTGGGCCCTGAGTATGTCTTGGTGACTAAGAGACATGGCTCTCTCCAGGAATGCACAGTCAAATACCTGGGATTTTTGATGGACCCTTCCTAAAATATCAGGTGTCAGGACTGCCAGAGGCAAACTTACCACGCTAATCTTACCTGATTTTTATATTTAACAATTATCCTTGCCATCTGTGTTTGTTTTTTTTGTGTGTGTTTTTTTAAAAATGTATTTTTATTGATTTCAGAGAGAGGAAGGGAGAGGGCTAGAGAGATAGAAACATCAATGACGAGAGAGAGTCATTGATCAGAGAGTCCTGCACGGCCCTCATTGGGGATCGAGCCTGCAGCCTGGGCATGTGCCCTGTCCAGCAATGGAACCTTGATCTCCTGGATCATAGGTGGATGCTCAACCGCTGATCCACGCCGGCCGGGCACCATATGTGTTTTTTCTTCACATTTTCTTTGATTAGGTTAATTTTTTTTTTTTTCAGTAGTAGGAAGCTTAGAAGTAGACTGGTTTTGCTTTAAATAGATTTGAAGAGTTCAGTTGGGTTATGGCCTTGTTAGCAAGGGAGGGAAAGATACCTGCCCTTGGGGACAGAGGGAGGTGACCTCTATGGTCCCACAGGTGTAGGTTTTGAGGCCCATCCTGTGGATGTCTGAGGGGCACATAAAAAGAAAAGGTAAGATGAATAACAAGATGACAGATGATACTAAGTAAAGATGATTTGCTGTATGCTTGCTTATATGGTGATAGGTGAGAAGTATTAACTGTAATTGTTAGGTAAAGGCTCATTGTAGCACTACTAGTAAAGGTAAACTTTGAAATCACTCACATGTCCTTTTTATATTAAAATTGTTATAATTAACCTAAAATTAATTGAGGTTTTATTTTGAGAGGTAGGCCTTCCATTTATTGCTTTTTCCTTGGTATTGGTTCCCAATTCTAATAGTTCATTAACAGGTATTTGCTATTAGAATTAAGTCCAATAGCTAATACATCTTTGTGGTGTTTCTTTGTAGAAAAAAAAGACAGTTCAGGTTCTGTGTCCTCAACAACTACTAACCAAGAGGAGAGTGATCAGATCTGCTTGTACCATATCCGGAAAAGTTGTAGCTTTCAAGGTAAGTCACAGGAAACCCCTTCATCCATATGTGGGTGGGATAACTGCTTTTCATAGTCCCTTCCCCTGTCCAGAGAGGGTCGGGTCTTCTTAATCACGAGCTGGTGTGGCATTCGGTCAGACGAGTTCTGAAGCAATTTTTTGGGGTGTTGGGGATGGTAGGAATTGAGTTTCTAAAAATCAAATTGTAGGTGATTTGGGGGGCCATAACTGTTTGGTTCATGCAGCGAGTTAACCCTTGGTCAGTGTAGCATACGATCACAGATGTGCACAAGACACAGATGCCTAATCTAGTGGGAACAAAGATAAGTGTCCTTCATAAAGGGCGGTCGTAGACTTAGAGATGCCTTAGAAACTGGGGAGGCCTTTCTGAGGAGGAGAGACCTGTGCTTACTTTTCAGGGACGAGTAATTGTTTAAGTTGTGGTTTTGTCTCCATAGTTCCTCTTTTATCAGAAGTAGCAATGATTGTATCTATATGTGTATTTATATTTTTACTAAACCTTTGTTTTCTTCTTACTGCCATCCTGGGCTTTGGCTGAATGATTCCTTCTCAAACTCGTGACTTCTCTTAAAAACCACCACAACTTATTTAGTTTTCAGTCAAAAATTACCCAAGCAATTCATGAATACTTTCACTTTGTAAAAGAGTCTAACAATACGGAGTAAAGTCTGAAGTCCTCCTTCAGCCTTCTGCAAAGTTAAGCACATGCCATATGGTCATGATATTTGTTTTACATATTTTTCAAGGGATGGGAACCTGTGGCACATTATTTAACCTGCTTCCTTTACTTAACATTGTGTCTTGGAGGTTTTTTCCATGTTAGTTAGTACACGTAAGTCCACCTTGTTTGTTTTTTATCCTCACCCGAGGATATTTTTTCCATTGCTTTTCAGAGAGAGTGGAAGGGGGGAGGGGAGGAGAGAGAGAGAGAAACATTGATGTGAGAGAGACACATCCATTGGTTGCCTCCCATGCACACCCCAACCAGGGCAGGGGATCGAACCTGCAACCGAGGTACATGCCCTTGGCGGGAATCGAACCCGGGACCCTTTAGTCTTCAAGCTGACGCTCTAACCACTGAGTCAAACTGGCTAGGGCAAGTCCGCCTTGTTTTTAAAAACAATAGTATAGTATTCAGAGGAGTGTTTCATTGAGCATCTAATTACACATGTGTATTTCCATAGACAGATTTCTGGAAATGGAATGCTAAGTCAAAGAATATGTGCCATATATACATATACATGTATATTTTAAAAATCAACACTAAGATCTCATTTACACACAATAAAATAAACCCATTTCCAGTGTACACTCTGAGTTTTGGTAGATAGGTATGCCCATGTAGCCATGACTATAATCTAGATATGGAACAGTTCCCTCATTCCAAAAATTTCTCTTATGTCCCTGTACAATTAATCCTCACCACCCCCAATTTTGTGACCCCAGGAAATCCCTGATCTACTTTTTGTTGCTGTAGGTTATATTTATCTTTTCTAGAATTTCTTATAAATATAATCATATAACATGTATTCTCCTATACCATCTTCTCTCACTGAGCATGTTTTTGAGGTTTGGTTGTGCTGGAATATCCATAGTGTTCCATTGTATGGATTGACTACAATTTGTTTATCCATTCAGGTGTTGATGAACATTTGGGCTTCCAGTTTTTGGATTTTTACAAATAAAGCTTCTATAAATCTTCATGTATAAATTTTTATGTGGCTATATGGTTCCACTTCTCTTTGGTAAAGACCTAGAAGTGTAATTACTGGATCATGTGATAAATGTGTGTTTAACTTTATAAAAAAAGAGCCAAGCTGCCTTCCAAAGTGGATATACTATTTTACTTTCCCACCAGCAATGTATGAGCATTCCAGTTGTTCTGTATCCTTGTCAACACTTGTTATCGTCAGCCATTTAAATGTTAGCCATTCTAATAAATGAGTAGTGATAGCTCATTATAGTCCTAACTTGCATTTTCTGATGATTAATGATATTTAACATTTACTTTCATGTGCTTATTGACCATTTGTATGTCTTCTATGAAGTATCTATTAAATCTTTTGCCTATTTTTTATTAGCTTTATTGAGATATTGAGTATAATTCACATACCATACAATTCACCTATTTAATAGTTGTTGTTAATCTTCACCCAAGGATATTTTTCCATTGATTTTTAGAGAGAGTGGAAGGGGGGGAAGAGAGAGAGAGGGAGGGAGGGAGAGGACCGATGTGAGAGAGACATCGATTGGTTGCCTCCCACATGTACCCCAGTGGGGGCCAGGGGTCAAACTTGCAACCCAGGTACATGCCCTTGACTGGGAATCAGTCCTGAGACCCTTTGGTGCCCTCGCCGACACTAACCACTGAGCAACTCCAGCAGGGCAGTAGTTTTGAATATAGTCAAAGAACTGTGCAACCATTACCACAGTCAATATTAAAACATTTCTCACTTCCAAAGAAATCCTGTAGAAGTCACTCCTATTCTCCCCTCCCCTCCAGCTCCTGGCAACTACAGATTTATATTCTAGCTCTATAGATTTGCCTAAATAGTTCATAAAAATGGAGTCATACAATATGTGGTCTTTTGTGACTTTGTGATTTTTGTGATTTTGTGTGTGGTGGTGTTGAGTTTCAAGAGTTTTGAGTATTTATACAAGTCTTTGTCAGATATAGGTATTGAAAATACATTCTTCCAGTCTGTGCCTTTCATGTTCATTTTCTTTGTGGTATCTTTTGAAGAATATAAGCTTTAATATTGATAACCATTGTAATATTTTTTAATGGTTTGTGTTTTTTGTACCTTAAAGTCTTTATTTATTCCAAGCCCTCAAAAAATGTTTCTCCTATGTTTTTTTCTAACAGTTTTATAGGTTTAGCTTTTATGTTTAGATCTATTACTCTTGATCTGTTTTCTCTAATAATTATTTCCTTAGGTACTGATTCTTCTGTGTGAGTTAGCTGAGTGGCTGTATAATTTTTTTCTTTTGTACTGGGTGACTCTTGGCTGTCTGCTCATGTTGATACTCAGAATCTCTGTGCCTGTGGTGGGTGCTGATGCCAGGCTTAATTGATAAAAGGCAATGTCTTGCTTGGTGGGTGGGCTGCTAGCATATATCCTAGGACTGGGGACTTCAGTGACTCATAGGCTTCTCTCTCTGCAGCCCTTACATCTACATTCACAAGTTTCATGGGACAAATAGCAAGGTTGCTGAGCACAGGCAAGGCACTGAGGGAATGTCTGCTCTGATGGGTCCCAGTTACTCCCATTGCTATTGCCTGGGTATCTTCCTTGCTTCTTGTTGCATTGAACTTTGAGTTTGTGAAGCCCCCAAACCTCTCCCACTTCTGTGGTAGCTCTCTTCTGCATACTTTGCATGTGTTTTTTGCTCTCCTTTTTCTCTATCAGTTTCTGTCTGTTTCACATTTTTAGGAATTCTTCAGTAAATCTGATCTTTTGTTGGAAGTGCTAGGAGCGAGAGGCCCTGGGGAGTACAGGGAAGGCATAGAGGGAGCAGTTGGCTGAAACCCGTAGACCTGGGCCATTCATTATGTGTATATCTGCAGGGGTGGACCTTCAGGGGTGTGAGGGTATGTTGAGGAGAGGTGAGTATATTTGCAGCCAGAAAGATCAATGTATCCTAGAACCAGGCTTCTGACCCATTTGTGATCAAACATGCCTGGGATTGGGATGGTAGAGATAAAGATGGCTCCATTTTTTGGCCTGACCACTACCATCTACCTGCCACATAAATAGCAATGCGTAGTCAGACTTCCACCTGCTGGGATGGAGCCTTTGACCTTCTCATGATCTGCTTCTTTACTATCATGAGATGAAATTCATATATAATGTAACCTGCCAATGTATATCATTTGAAAAATCAGTATAATGCCCTGTTAAACAGGGAGACATAAAAAGGAAAATCTATATGATAAAATACATAGTATTTATAGATCTAACTGTTTAGATATGACTATCCTAAAGAAAGACTTCTCTACAAATTTCCAAAATGTTTCCAGGTCAGCATGCAACACCACACTCATTGAGAACCATGGGTCTAGGTCATGCTATCTAATGTCAAAATGTCTTCTTTATATTTTTATTTTAGATAAGTGCTATAAAGTTCATTTCCATTTGCCGTATCGCTGGCAATTCTTGGATGGAGGCAAATGGAAGGATTTGGACAAAATGGAGCTTATTGAAGAGGCATATAGCAACCCTAATAAAAAAAGGTAGGAAATAACGTCACTGTGTCTGCTTTGTGCCTGGGATTTTGTGTGTGGTGTGGGAAGTTTAGACACAGCAGGTTTTAGTTTTGATGGCCTTCACACACACACCCACTCACACACACACACTCTCACACACACACATAGTAAGCAGACTGGTCTGGAGGTGGAAGCTCTGCTGAGAATTGGAAGTTAATGTTCATACTGGAGGTTTGGTGCCTCTGTTTTCCCACCTTCCTCTCCTCTGAGGGAGAAGCTGTGGGGGAAGAAGGTGGTGGCAACAAGTGAGTTCTGAATTATTTGCTGTTGGGACTGATCACTTATATATATCCTCACTGATTAGTGCAGAGAAGCAAGAGGCAGTCATTTGTGAAATTTTAGCTTTTGCCTGTGTAGTCATATGGCTGAACTGCTTTTTATCCAGCCTTTAACTTTCTTATTTTTCTAAGTGTGTCCCAGTATTTTCACTTAGTCAATTCAGAGTAAATGGGGAAGTCCTGGGTAGCTTTATTTTCAAGTACTTATCATGTCTTGGATTGAACTTGCTAAAATGTGTTGCCAAGAAGAGAATTTGAGCCTACTTTTTGAGTGGATAGAATATATTTGTGCTTAGAGTATAATTATGTGCAAATTGCTACTGCAAAGTACGTGAAACAAATTACTCCCCTTAGGAGGATTAAATGGCTCACAAACCACCCATCTCTCACTCTATTCTATTCTGAGGCAAAATTTACACTGTGAAGTGCACAGATATTAAGTGTGTAGTTCAGTGAGCTTGATAAATCATACACTTGTGTAGCCAACACTGATCTAGGTATAGATCATTTTCATCACCCCAGCAAGTTCCTTCTTGTCTCCTTTCAGTAAGTGCCCACCCCCATCAGCCACTGCTGTTCTGATGTGTATCACTGTAGGTTAGCCTTGCCTGTTCTTGACCTACAGCTAAGTGGAACCGTACACTGGACTATTGTGTCTGGAGTCTCTCAGCACTCTGTTCTCGAGACTCATCCAAGTAGTCTTGTCTCCTGGTTCACATATGCACATACTTCCTCAGGGCAGGTGTTTAGGCATGAAACTGCTGGAGGTAGGCTGGGTCCATCTTCAGCTTTGCCAGGTGATGCCAAATTGTTTTTCAAAGGGATTGTGCCACTTTCCACCTCCATTAGTCTCTAGTGACACGTCTCCCTAAAGTTTGTTTATTGTCTGCCATCTGAACTTTTCCCAGTCTAGGGGTATAACTGGTATCTTTGTCTGCATATCCTATGGGGTGAAGTGTCTCCCCATATGTTTTTTGGCCATTTGTACTTCCTCTGCTGTAAAATGTCTGTCCTAGTAGCTTGTCTATTTTGGCAGGGTTGGGGGAGGAGGTTGTGTTGTGTTTTTATTACTTTAGTTTTAGGAATTTTTAAAGTTTCTGGTTATTAAATGTGTGTTGAAAATATACTCTTCTTTTCAGGTTATCTTTTAATGAAGAGAAGTAGTTTTCCATTTTTTCTTTACTGTTTTATACTTTTTGTATCATAAGAAATCCTTCCTTATCCCAAGACCATAAAGAGATTTTCCTTAAAAAGTCTTAAGGATTGTATTTAATTTCTCCCTGTATGTATGAAGTATGGGTTCAGTTTCATTTTTATGCAGATGAATTACCAGTTTTGCCAAAGCCCACTTGTTGAAAATGTATTTTATTTAAAGATTTTAAAATTGTGGTAAAATATACATAACATAAAATGTACCACTTTAACTATTTTTAAGTGTACACTTCAGTGGCATTAAGTACATTCACATTGTACATTCACCATTAGCCATTTCCAGAAGTTAATTTATTTTTAAACCAATTAAAACAGCCAAATTTGGCAAAATGTTAACACATTTTATAGTTTATTTTCACACTCAGTTGCCAAATATTACGTTTTAAAAGTAGGCCATCTCTTCTCCACCAATTTTCAATGCTGCCTGTGTCAGGTGCCAAGTTAGCAAATATACACCCAAGTTCGTGTCTGGCCTCTTCATTTAATTGGTCTGTTTGTATCAATATCACACTGTCTTACCTGGTAGTGCTTTTATTAGTTGCATCTGGTGAGGCAAATTCCCACCTTGTTTTTCTTCATATTGTCTTGATTCTTCTTGGTCTTTTGCTTAGAAACTTGAAAATTTACTCTTTGGTTTCCACAAAAAAATCCTGTTATGACTTTTTAAAATTGAAATTGCATTGACTACTGTCAGTTTGGGGAGAATTGACATCTTTTTTTTTTTTTTTTTAATATATCTTTATTGATTTCAGAGAGAGGAAGGGAAAGGAGAGGGAGAGATAGAAACATCAGTGATGAGAGAAAGTCACCAATAGGCTGCCTCCTGCACGCTCCTCTGCTGGGGATCAAGCCCGCAACCTGGGCATGTGCCCTGGCCGGGAATTGAACATGATCTCCTGGATCCTAGGTTGGTGCTCAACCACTGAGCCACACATTTTTTATCTTAAGAAATTTCTAGCCTTCTAAAAATGAGATTAGGATGGTTCCTTTTCTGTTCTCTGAAAAAAATTTATATAAAATTAGAATTCTTTTTTTTTCTTGATTAATCATAAGAATGTCTAAGCCTAATTAATATTTAATTTGTGGGAAGACTTGAATTTCTGATAATTGTTATAGGTCCAATTAGGTTTTCTGTTTTTCTGTGAGTCAGTTTTGGTAAGTTTATTTCCAGGAGTTTGTTCATTTTATTTATTTTCAAACTAATTGTCCTAGTTGTCATAAGGTTGCTTGTGTCTATGGCATTTTTAGTTTTGTCCATTTTACATTTCTTTTTTATTTTAAATTGATTTTAGAGAGAGGAAGGGGGGAGATAAACATCGATGTGATAGAGAAACATCGATTGGTTGCCTCCCACACACACCCTGACTGGAGATCGAACCTGCAACCTGGGGATGTGCCCTTATGGGGAATCTAACCAACCACCTTTTGGTGTACAGGACAACACTCCAACCAACTGAGCCACTCTGGCCAGGGCCCTTTTACATTTCTAATATTTTTTTCCCTCTTCTTTTTCTTGATCAATCTTGCAGAGATTTATTAATTTTACTAATATTTTTCTTTTTTAGAAGAAGTAACTTTTGTCCTTTAAAAATTTTTTTTTATTGATTTTAGAGAGAGAGGAAGTAAGAGGGATAGAGAAATAGAAACATAGATGTGAGAGAAACATCTATCAACTGCCTCCTGCATGCCCCCTACTGGGGATGGAGCCCACAACCCAGGCATGTGCTCTAACTGGGAATCGAACCAGGGACCGCTTGGTTCATGGATTGATGCTCAACCACTGAGGCACACCGGCCAGGCTACTTTTATCCTTTTTTGATCTCATATATTAGGTGACCCATGGTTTATTTCTAAGTGTATTTTAAAATTTGTTTGTGTAATTTCACATGATTTGCATTGTGGTCAGAAATTATAGAGCATATAGTAACAAATTCTTTGAATTTTGTTGTGACTTGCTTTATGAGTGTAGTACATGGTCAGTTTTAGTAAAAGTTCTGTTGTGCTAAAAGTTTTTTTGGATGCAGTTTAGATGAAGTATATTAATTATGGGGTTTAAGTCTTCTATATCCTTATTGATTTCTTTGCTGCTTTAATCAGTTACCCACAGAGGTATGTTAACACTATAAATTTGTCAGTTTTTCCTTCTAATTCCATCAATTTTTGTTTCACGTAGTGAAGTGTTGTAAAGCATATACAAGTTTAACATTTTTATCTTGAGCCTGTTAGCAATGTAACATGAATGCTTTTTATTTCTAGTAATGATTTTTGCTTTAGATTTGTTTTGTTTGATACTGGTATAACTATGCCAGCTGCTTTTAGTTGCTGTTTACTATTCTTTTACTTTCAAGCTTTTTCTTCCTGATATTTTAGATATATTTCCTGTAAACATCATAGAACTTATTTTTTCAGTTTGACAATCTTTGTCTTTTAATTAGAAGTTAGTTTACTTACATTTATTGTGATTACTTACACATTTGAATTAATTTTTATTGTCCATCTTGATTTTTTGCTATTTGACCTGCTTTTTTTATATTTCCTTTCTGTTTTTGGTCTTCTTTTAGATTTTTTTCCTCATTTGATTTTTTTTCTTATCTACTAGTATGTACTGCATATCTGTTCTTTTACTAGTTACTCTAGAAATCTAAACAGGTTCTTTAACTTAGCAAACTTTAACAGTTTAAGCTAATTTATACTTTTGATCATTCCCTCAAACTATGAAAGAAACTTGAACAGTTGGATTCTGAGGTAATTACAGTCAAACTTATTTACTACTTGTATGAATTTGGGCAAATTATTTAACCTCCCTGTATCTCAGTTTCCCCATATGTCAAGTAGATAAAATAATAGTTTCTACATCAAAGAGTTATTTTGCGAATTAAAACATTTAATATATGTAAAACACTCAGAAAAGTGCCAGGCATATAAGATTTGCTACATATGTGTGCTTCTATTTTTTTTTTTAATCCCAGAAGTTGGAAATTAGCATGGCTTTTGCAGTCAGTATTTGCTTCAACTTAAACATTTATTTTGTTTGTGCTCAACATTCCTTTGCCATATATATCCTCTTCGATCATTTTCCTCTTAAAGTTCATCTTTTAGAAGTTGCCTTACTAAGAGTCTAGTGACAAATGTGTTTTTTGTTTGTCTGAAAGTGTCTTTGTTTTCATCCTCATTTTTGAAAGATTGTTTTATTGAGTAATTTCTTTTAGTCCCTCAAAGATTATTCCATTGTTTTCTGGCTTCCATTGCTTCAATTTAGAAGTTAGCTGTAAGTCTAAATGCAGGTATAATAGTTTCCTAGGACTGCCTAAACAGTTTATCATCAACTTGGTGACTTAAAATAACAGAAATTTATTCCATCACAGTTCTGGAGGCTAGAAGTTAGAAATCAGGATGTCAGTAGGGCCACACTTACACAATAAACACTAAGCCTATGTTAATTATTGTTATTTTGGCTTCTAAGGATTTCCCTTTCTTGCCAGCTCAGCAGTGCATTTAAAGTATTTTTAACCAGCATTTTCTGTGTAGTGAAAAGAATGTCATGATAATGAGTTTGAATTTATTATTTTGCATGGCAAAACTGATCTTACAAAGCAGTCCTCCCCTCTCCCTTGGAAACATTTTTTTTAATGTACATGTCACATTTATGTTCATACCTACCAGCTGAGTGTCTGGAAGACCATGGGTAGAAGCTGAGGGGCTTATATTCATTTGGCTGGTGGAATTTTCAGTGTACCTCTCACATTCTTTTGCAGGGTCCTGTGTGCCGATTTGGTCAGTGTCTTTCACTCTGATTATCTGAACTTTGACTCTATGAAGTTTGGCACTGCCCAGGCTCGCCGCCTCTCTACAGCCTCCTCTGTCACCAGACCTCCACATTTCATCCTCACTACCGAGTGGATTTGGTACTGGACTGATGACTTTGGTTCTTGGCAGGAATATGGAAAACAAGTAAGTGTGATAGAAAGAGGGCAAGTGTTTCCTCCTGAGGGTCCATATGGAGGAGCCCTTCCAAACATGGGCACAAGGATTGTTCTAGGGGGTCAGTGAAAGAGCCAAAGATTTCCATATCTCCTGACTCACCTGCTTTGGTGGGGTGGATTATGACCAGGTTAATGTGGAGTTCATTTGTCTGAGGTTTCATCTTTGAACGATTTAATGTCTTTTGGCTCCTGAAATCAGAATGTCTAAAAGTTGTGAGATGACATTTCTTCATTGGTTTTGTTAAATGGGGGTAGAAAGATGCTTCTCTTACTTTGAACAGGTAACTCTGGAGCGAGTGCCCGTGTGTGAGGGAGTGTTTGTATAATAAAGATTAAGTTGGCAGAATAAAGATTAAGGCTTTTCAAAGCTGGCTTTTCACCTTACCTGTAGCAGCAACTTTACAGAAGGCTGGCAAGAAGAAAGTAGGTTTATTTCAGTATTGATCCAGAATCTGGATCAAATAAATGCTGCTGTCAGTTACCTGAAGATGTTCATGTGTGGATCAGATTAAAGGGAGTCCCCCGGTCACCTGTAGAGGTGCAAAGTATAGGGAGGTCATTTTTATAGGGACAGCCTCTCCAAAATGGAAATTGGGGTATGTGGTCTAATGGACATTTGTACTTTGGGTTGTGAGAGGCTATGTTCAAGCTTTAGTTTCTTATTCTCAGATGCACTTAGAATGTCTTCCCCGGGAACATTATAGTGAGAGCTTCATGAGGTCAGGGAGCTTTCTCTCTTTTGCCACTGATGTGCTCCATGCCAAGGATGATGCCTGCACCTAGCAGGTCCTTGGGAATAGGTAGGTGTTGGCTGGTTGAAGGACAGAGGTGTTGCCTTAGGCCCATGGGTCAGTTGAAGACTGTCACTCTCAATGGTGGCCTCATGACTTGAGCCTCATTCTTCACGTCTGTTTCTTCTAGTGCCAGCCTCTTCTCACTCCTCATTGGCTGTTCCATCTGTCCCCTTTCCCACTTGTCTCCCCTTCTCAGGCATCCTGGGGTTCCTCTCACCTTTTCTGCCGTGTGGCTTTTTTCAGGGAGGCTCTCTAGTATCACTCTCGGTTTGGCCAGGAGCAGGAGGAGAGAGGCCATGTCTGGCATTGAGGAGGGGAAGAGGGTGACGAGGGTCATACTCCAGGAATTGAATTTATTTGACAACAGCATGGAGGGGTGCATGGCAGATGAGAAACACTTAGCAGTATGTGATAATCTTTTACTTTTTGTTTGGCAACTTGTCTCCCTCTGGGGGACACAAGCTCTCTGGGAGCCTAGCAGGATGACATAGGACCCTAGGGGTAACCCATGAGAAAGTACATTTCTCTGGGTGGCTTCCAAACTGGGCATCATTTTAGGGACTAGGGGCCTTTTTCCTCCAAACATCCCACACTTAGAGTGCTTTTCTTTTCTCCTTCTGCCTCTTTTCCTTTTTTCTCTTAAAAAAAATTTTTTTTAATTCCTCACCTGAGGATGTTTTTCCATTGCTTTTCAGAGAAAGTGGAAGGAAGAGAGAGAGAAACATCGATGTGAGAGAGATACATTGATTGGTTGCCTCCTGCATGTGCCCCCTGACTGGGGCTGGGGATTGAGCCTGCAACCGAGGCATGTGCCCTTGTCTGGAATCGAACCCGGGACCCTTCAATCCACAGGCTGATGCTCTAACCATTGAGCAAACTGGCTATGGCTCCCCTTTTTTTCCCTATGTCACTATTCCTATATGCGGTGTAGTCAGTGCATAACCTTGTTAGAACAGTTGGAGTCTCTGGGGATGACCATGTGGGTTACAGAGGGAGCATAGCCCTGTAGACACCCTGTATGACACACCATGTGCAGGTGGGTATGGGATGCACGTGTATGGAGTTGATGTTCTGCTGCATGGTCTCAGTTTGTACCATCAGCAGGACCACCTCATGAAGTGACCTGTCCATTCTAGCCCTTCTTGCCCACATACCTCTGGTGTCACCCTATATTTGTATTTCTTTCTTAGTTTTCTGCTAATTGCCAGTTCAAAATAGTTTTCTCTTGATTCTCAGAAAAGCTAGGTTCTTTTCTGCCTGAGCAGAGGATGTACCCCCAAATTTCAGGTCTAAGTTACTTCTATTGTATTAATTTCCTAGGGCTGCCATGACAAAATACCACAAACTGGGTGACTTAGAACACCAGTGATTTATTATCTCACATTTCTGGAGGCTGGAAATTGAAATCAGGGTGTCTACAGGGCTATGCTCCCTCTGTAACCTATAGGGAATCCTTCCTTCTTCCTAGCTTCTGGTGGTTTGCTGGTGATCTTTGGTGTTCCTTGGCTTATAGATGCATCACTCCTGTCTGCCTTTGTCATCATATGGTGTTCTCCCTGTGTGTCTTCATATGGTCATCCTCTTGTAAGAACATCAGTCATGTTGGATTAGGGGCCCATCTTAACTAATTATATTTGCAATCACCCTACTTCCAAATAAAGTCACCTTTCTGGGGTACTAGGGATTTGGGGATACAATTAAACCCATAACCTAATCTTGTATATAAAATAATTACTGCTGTTGGCTTACTGAAGTTTCCTACGTTAAACTTGACATCTCTAAGGTGTTGGGCTCCAGGATGCATTACCCCGACCTGTATTCTCATTGGATTATTCTCAACAAGCTTCTCATGTCAACTTACCTTTTCCATTTTTCCCCTTTCCTGTGTTTTTCTCTCCTTTGATCTAAAAGCCCTGCAATTACCTTCATCCTTTTGTACCTGAACAACTCATCCATCTGCTTGGAAGGAAAGACCCCCATTTATTCCTCCAGTTGCCAGAATCTGATTTCTCTTCCCATTACCGTTCATCTGGTCACTATTCAGGGGTGCTTTCAGGAGGTGAGACCCAGCCAGATGCAGATGCTAGCAAGGGGCAGAGGCTCAGGTTCCAGATTCCATGGCACTTCCAGCCTTTGTCCAGAGTGTTGCGCATTCCTTCCTCACTCTCCTGGCGTCTTGCTTCTCCCACATGTTCTTCATGGGCTTCTTTTCCACTCCCCTTGGTGAGTGTTGGGGTTTCCCAGGGTCTAACCCTCACCCCCATTCTTCCCATTTGTGTGTTTGCAGTGGTAACCACATCGATCCTTCTGACAGTGGTGCCCACCTCGAGTGAGCTCTATCTCTGTCTCCAGACCAGATTCTTCTTCAAACATCAGACTTGTATATCCAGACACTTGCCTCATATATACATATATATATATGTATATATATATATATACACACACACTTTTTTTTACATTTTTGTTTAAAGTATTAATAGATGTCCCTTTTTCTCCCCAGTGACCCATTCCACCCCGTCCCACCCCCCTCCCCAGTCTGTCTCCACACCATTATCCGTGCCCTTGGGTTGTGCATATATGCATATAAATTATTTTGTTAATCTCTCCCACTCCACCCACCCGCCTTCCTCCGTCCCTCTGAGATTCATCAGTCTGATCCATGCTTCCATGTCATTGACTCTATTCTGTTCATCAGCTTATTAAGTTCTTTAGATTCCACATTTAAGGGAGATCATGTGATGTTTGTCTTTCTCTGCGTGGCTTATTTCACTTAGCATAATATTCTCCAGGTTCATCCATCCTGTCCCAAAGGGTACGAGGTCCTTCTTCTTTACAGCTGCATAGTATTCCATGGTGTAAATGTCCCACAGCTTTTTTATCCACTCATTTACTGATGGGCACTTGGGCTGTTTCCAGATCTTAGCTATTGTAAACTGTGCTGCTATAAACATAGGGGTGCATATATTTTTTCCTGTCTCTTATACACATCTAGATGTGTATAAGAGACAGCAANTATTCCTAAAAGTGGGGCCGCTGAGTCAAAAGGCAACTCCATTTTTAATTTTTTGAGAAATCTCCATATTTTCCATAGTGGTTGCACCAGTCTGCATTCCCACCAGCAGTGTACTAGGGCCCCCCTTTCTCCACATCCTTGCCAGCACATGTCATTTGTTGATTTGTTGATGGTGGCCATTCTGACAGGTGTGAAGTAATACCTCATTGTGGTTTTAATTTACATCTCTCTAATGATTAGCGACGTCGGACATTTTCTCATGTGTCTCTTGGCCATCTGTATGTCCTCTTGGGAGAAGTGTCTGTTCAGGTCCTTTGCCCAGTTTTTAATTGAATTGCTTGTCTTCCTCTTGCTGAGTTGTATGAGTTCTTTGTACACTTTTGAAATTAGCCCCTTAGCAGATGTATCCTTGGCAAATATGTTTTCCCAGATCATGGGGTTCTTTGTATTTTGAGGTTGTTTTCTTTTGCTGTGCAGAAGCTTTTTAGTTTGATGCAGTCCCATATGTTTATTTTTTCTTTTGTTTCTCTTGCCCTAGGAGATGTATCAGTGAAAATTCCACTACGTGGGATGTCTGTGACTTTATTGCCTATGTTTTCTTCCAGGATTTTTATAGTTTCGTGACTTACATTTAAGTCTTTTATCATTTTGAGTTTTTTTTTGTGTATGGTGAAAGTTGGTGGTCTAGTTTCATTTTTTTGCATGTACCTCTCCAATTTTCCCAGCACCACTTATTGAAGAGACTGTCTTTACTCCATTGTATGCTCTTGCCTCCTTTGTCAAATATTAACTGATCATACTGGCGTGGGTCTATTTCTGGGGTCTCTGTTCTGTTCCATTGATCTATGTGTCTGTTGTTGTACCGATACCAGGCTGTTTTGATTACAATGGCTTTATAGTACAGTTTGATATCCAGTAAAGTGATTCCTCCCACTCTGTTCTTTTTTCTCAAGATAACTACCTGCCGGATATTTCTGCAGTACTTTTGTTTTTTGTTTCAGTTGCTGTGCTAAGTGCCCTGCGTGCCTTATTTAAATTATTTTCTAACTCTTTGGGGATGGTATGATTCTATTGTGTAATGATATGAGTATGATTTAAATACTGTTATTTTTCCTGTTACAGAGTTGAGATAATTGAGGTTCAGAGAGGTTAAAATAACTTGCCAAGGTTATGAGTAAACAGGTTTGGGGCCAGAACTCAAACTCAGTCCCTCCCCAAATCTTAAATATCCTGTAGGTAATTGTAATGAGGATGAGAGATCAAAATGGAAAATTGAAAAAATAGAAGAGCTCTCCAAGGGATCAAAAAAAGAAAACAAGGAGGGCTGCCCACTGAGTAAAGGTTGGTGGGAACAAGACTCAATGGAGAAGAGGCAGCATCGCTCAGGCTGTCCAGTCAAGCAGCATTAGAGAGTTCACTGTTGATGTTTCACTTCATTTGAATGCTGTATCATCCATTATGAGTAACCAGATGCCCTCTCCTCACATTGCTCCCATTGTGGTTATCCTGGGTAGCAGCACCCAATAGAAGACTTTGTTTTCCCAGACAGCTTCTAGGAAGCAGTTGTGTTGTCTTTTGTTCCGTGCCTCCTCCTCCTACCATATCCCTGCTCTTGTCATGGCTCCCGCATGACAGTTAATACCACCGTGGGAACGTCTGCCACGTGGCAAGGTCAGCTCCAGTGTCTGTCTTCATCATTGTAGATTCTTGCCTTCATGAAGTATCTGGTTTTTTGCCTCACAGGGCATGGAGCACCCCACAACCACTGTCAGCAGCAGCGATTTGGAGAAGGCCTACCTGGCATACTGTGCACCAGGGTCTGACACCCAGACAGCGATTCTCAAGTTCCAGGCTGGAAAACACAAATACGAATTAGACTTCAGAGGTATTTACTGACCCACTGCCCTCACTCAGCAGGGCCTGGCCATCTGTTGGCTGTGCCTCTTCCACATTAACCCTGGACAAGCTCTGTACACACATTGAGGGCCAGGAAAAAAAGGAAGGGTGGTTTTTGCTTTGAAATGCTTCCCATCTGGAATGGGAGACAGACCTGTAAATAGGTGATGCCAGTCCAGCAGAATCAAAGAGAAGCTGCCTGAAGGAGTGGTGAGGGGTAGGAGAAGAGCACCCTGAGGAGGGGACAGGAGCCCAGACTGGAGGAACAAGCGGGGTCAGCATTTGTGCAGTGGTGGTTGTCCTATTGGCCATGGCTGAGTCCCTCTGTGTCTAAGGATTAACCTTAGTCCCCGACAAGTGTCATAGTGGTTCTGCTATGCAGGTTTGCCTCATACTCCGCAGCGTGGCAATGTTAATATCATCTTTTCTATAGGGGCCTTTGGCATAGGGCTGGCTGCCAGGTTAAACGTGGTAGACACATACAGTAATTAAAAGTTGCAGGGAAACATATTTTTTGTATACTCATGGTGACATAAAACTGGGCCTTAAATTATTTGTCCCTTTTGCCTTGACAGACAGAAGCAGGCTAAGCACTCTGACCAGGTCTTCCAGTGACTGATTTATGAGGATTTTCATTTTTATGTTTTAGTTTTTCTGTAATTTCTCTTAAGCCATTTCCAGATGGATTTATCAGTCCAGCCTTGTTTGATTCATTTTGCCTTTAAATTCACATTTTAAACTCTGAATTCTCTGAATATTCAGCATTTTTAAAGGGAGTTAACGTGGGCTTTCTTTTCAATGCAGTTGATTGTTTTCTCTGTTTTTGTGGACCTTTATTCTTTGTGGAAGGCAGCAAAGTGTTGCCTGTTTTTAGCCAGTTTTTGCATGTGGTTTTGTAGCATTGGTGGTTTTGCTTAAGGTAGAATGGCTGCTGCCTTGATGGGCCCTTACAGGGATCCTGAAGTGCCTACTACTCTTCAGTGAGAACTGCTTACCAGCTTTTAGCGTCTCTTGGTGAACACCAACCAATCCAGTCTGGTAAATTGCAAGTTCCCCAAAAGGTACAGTGAGAGACATGCAAAATAATAAAAGTGAGGACTGCCCTGAAGATCAAGTTTATATAACTATCACCTGTTTGATTGCTGCTGTGTGAAATATTTGTTAAAATATCTGGGGAATATAAAAACAAATAAACCAAAAATGTCACATGCAATCTTTTTTTTTTTTTT